ATTACTTGAGTCTGCTGCAGCGTGTTAATTATCGCACTCCAGCCACCCTCCACATCTTGTGCATCAGCATCCCCGCGCTTCAAAATGGCGACAGGGGCGCTTTATCTAAAGCTCGTCAAATGAGCTTTAGATAAAGTGCCTCTGCTAATACATGAGACACTCCGGGCACTTTAATTAGAGTGGCTCTTGGACCTGCTCCAATTAAAGTGGTTCCCCTCCCCCCCACCAACATGTGTATAGACACCCTGTGATAACCAGTATTATTAACTCAGTGCACAGTAACCAATGCTACTGTGCAGTTGCACCAGCACAGTCTTTTAGAAATGTTAATGTGCAGTAGATCAGTTCTACCGTGCATTGGCCCAGCTTTAGCCATGATGCATTAATGTGCAGTAGAATTAGTCTACTGCACATTCAGCATCTTGTGTACATGTCCACTGAAAGCCTCCTCCAGGGCATGCAGCTCCTCCTGTTAGTAGAATTTAAACCACAGAATAATCTGATTACATTTTAATGCATTTTCTGGTAACTCTTTAAAAAATTATTTCTTAGTATTTCACCCCTTCTCTTCTCAGTTGGAAGGATATAGCATATTTACATTTTGACTTTTCTGTAAATTTTCTTGTGAATATACACAACTCTGAAAATCTCAAGTGCTTGTAAGCAGATTCCAGGACATCTTTTCTGAGTTAATTTCTAGTTCCTATAGATGAAAAATATTGGTCAGAAAGTGGAGGTACACGGAAGTGGAGGTAGCTTCATAGCCACTGCTTTTTTTTTTAAAGCATTCTAATGGTGTATTTTAGGAGGAGCATTCTAATGGTGTATTTTAGGAGGAAAAAAATATTTTAAGACATAAGTCAATGAATTACACGTGATGAAGTGTTAGATTAGAATGTGGTTCTCTTACTCAAACTATATTTTCTTTCTTACTGTAACCTGGTCACCTTCATATATAATTTATACAAACCTTGCAACAAATTTTAAGTATGATACTTAATTCAATGCTAAATTAATTAATATTTTAGAAAAGTTCTAGTGGGATTTTTTTAAAGTATTTTTTCTAGGAGTTTCAAACCCCAGTATGTTAACACGTATAATACTGATAGTAAAAAAAAAAAAAAAATGGTGGGGGTGGGGAACAGAATGACAGAATAATTTATGTTCTTTAACGGTAAGTGCCCACTTTGAGATTATTTTTGTTATTGGTCAGTATGGTTCCCCCTTTCTCACTAATATCTTTTACATACTCCTTGCTTGCTTTAAGAACACATCAAGTACTGCACTCTAATGCATAACTGCCTTAATTAAAAGGAAGCTTATATTATACTACCATGCTTCATTAGACTGCTACTTTAAGTATTTACCTTTACACTGATCAAAATTAATATCTATCATTGACCCTATTATAAGCAGGGTTCTCCCCCAAACCATTATCTCTAATGATTCCCACACACAAATAAAACAACTTGTGAGACTTTAAGATGTTTTTAAGGGATAATGTAACATAGTGTAGGGATATAAGCTAGGGTTTGTAAAGGTAATCTTTTATCACACCAATATTTCAGGTATAAACATTTCCAAGTGGTAGACGTACTCTAACATTCTGCTTCAGTATCTGCAACTTCGGCACAATTGTAGTTTTTAAGACATAAGGGAAGGGAAGAGAAGCTACTCTAAACAGGCTGATCTAATGTTACCACCCATTGTGGATGTTTCCAAATGGCAACATACTTAAATAGCTATCGCATATCTAATTTATAATGTATACCGATATTTGTGAAAAAAGATTCTTAAAGTTCCTGTAGCTTTAATTTATAATGATAAGACTGGAAAACCAATGTGTTAAATACGATTGTGGTCCTAGCACTGTCTCATGAGAAGAGGTTGGTTTTTTTTTCAAGAGAAACTGTTCCCATAAGTGTCAAGTGGGATCAGTTTTTCAATAGCCTGTTTCTTGCTTTGTGAGAGGTTTGGGGTGGGGGGTGTTCATAGATTTCATAGACATTAGGGCTGGAAGGGACCTCGGAAGATCATCGAGTCCAGC